TCTGTTTTATTTGAACCTAGGAAATTGAGATTCATGGGATTTTCAAGGGGAACAATACCAAGTTGGCTGCCTCATTTGAGTTTCCCACCTATTGTTTTTGTCTTGATGATCTCAATTCTTTAAGTATCAAATTGACCACTATTAAATTATGAAAAAAACTACCTAGCTATAATTGATTGTGCAATTCCTTAAACGTTAATTTTCCTTTTACCCGCACAGATTTGGCCATTGTTTTACATCTTAATTACAAGGGAATGTACGAGAACCAATGTTTGAGAACCACTGATTCGTATCCAATATTTAGATGCATGGTAGCTAGACTAGCTCTAGCTAGACATGTTAATTTCCACGTTGTGGCATGGCTGCTTGCTTTATTATTATTATTATTATTATGTTGTTATTATTTTTATTATTATTGTTATTATTGTAGTCGTCATTTTTTTCTTTTTACAAAAAAAAAAAAAAATTAGGGTGTTGAGATGCATTCCATATTTGGACAAATCATAGGTTTTAAAGAATATTACATTATATTTATAGATCAAAGGAAATTATTGACAACAAAATTTGAATTTAAATTTTATAAGTGAAATATTTGAAACTTTCTAACTTAATAAACCCTTGTTGGCAAATTTTTTTTGTTGTTAATGTCTGTTATGTCATCCTGAACATTTTTCGCTTAGGAAATCTCAAAGACAGACATAAACAGAACTATCAAACCTTGGTGTTTTGCTGTGAGCATACAATGTTCCTTTCTTTTTTTTTTTGGTTCATTATTAGTTTTTTTTCCTTTGTGTTAAGGAAGGGATATACCTCAGAAGCTGGTAGCTAGTATAGAAAAGGGGCAGTATCATCGGATTCTAATATTCTTCACAGTTCTGAGGATAGACCAAGTGAGGCTTTAAAAACAAATTATTCTTTCAATTTCTACTAAAAAATACTGTAGCCTATAAAAAAGGCTCTCAACTTGCTTTTTTCAAAGAAAATCATTTCAGGTTACAGTATTCTCAGTCAAATGCAACTCAATAAAATTTACTCGTTGTAGTCGCCCATCTTTGAATTTTAGTCATACTGACAGATAAAGAAATATAATATTCCTCTATCGCGTGGTTTCTATATCCTATAATGAATAATGCAACATTGCCATTTAATATAGTCAAAGTTAACTAGGTTAGGTATCGCCGAGGGACAAAATCTTATGCTTGGCTTTCCACTCTATTTCTTTATTACGACTACTAGCTACTCCAAAGTTAGATACTCAGGATTGAAAAGTTGCTTCTATAATCTCAAGTTTGTATATATAAATATACATATATATATATATATATATATAAAAGAGATTAGAAATAAAAGCAAAAGTTATAAGTACTCATATTTAAAATTTAAATTTATTAAATATTATTTTTTAAAAATAATTATATTAATCAATTAAGCTATAATATAATAGTTTTTCAATTAGATAGGAATTTTCTCCATACAATATGTGATACCAGGGTTTTTTTTCATTTAATTTTATTTTACAATTAACTGTTTACTTAACAATCTTTCTTACAACATGTTTTATGAAAAGTAAAACAAGAAAATGGTTAACTTCAAACATGTAAGCTCCCAATCTTTAAAATAAAAATGACCATTAAATAAAAATAACATATAGACAAAGTAATGGACCTAATGGGCTGTGGAAACAAAGGTATTATTTGAGGAAAACCAAATTAAAGAGGTTAAAATTGAAGACAATAATTAGACAAAGTGGCAATAATTAGATGATGAGAAGATAATGCATGCATGCTCTTAATCCAAATCCCAACGCATCTTTACACAAAATTTGGCGCTCATTTTGATAGAAAAGATATTATGTCTCTCCTCAAAAGTCTTTGCAGATTTTTGACCTATACTATGACTTTGGTTTGGGGGGGGGGGGGGTGTCTATTGGAATCAGATCATGCCATGTCCTGCAAATGATAAAGAGGATCCCAAAGTCGTTTTTCTAACATGGGATACCCGGTTTCCCGTATTTGAATTTGAGTTTATAGATATGCATTATCCACACACACATATATATTTATTTTATATATTGTTAATACATTATATGTTATCACACTATTAATTTATAAATTAAAATAAAAATTTATATTTAATATATTATCAGTGTATAAATTATATATTTTATTAATAAAACATATGATAATATCCCATAAATGAACAAATATTAATTTTAAAATAAATATATAAAAATTAATACTTTAAAAAATCTATTTATTAATAATGTAACATCGTTTGATTTATCTCATTAATAAAATAATATCATTTAATTTACTAATAGTATATAAAATTTATATACTAACAATACATTAAATATAATACATTAAATATAAACTCTTTGAAAATACATTATGTGGAATCGTATATGCTATTGGATTGGGACACATCTTTTTGAAATATGATGCTGCTTAGAAAAAAAAAATTGTTTTAGAAGAAAAACTCTTGTATCCTGATTAATGGTCACTCCTTTTCTTTTAAATAAAATGAGCTGTAGAGTAAATATATGAGAAAAAATTCTGTGTCAAAGTTTAATTTAAATTTATTAGATATAATTTTTTAAAAGTAATTATATGAATAATTGAATTAAACCTTGAATTCGAATTGCTTTTATTATTACAGTTAATAAGTTTTCTGATAATGTATATATGTTCTTCAAGATTAACCTTAGAACATGAAAAATTAATCAGATTAAACGAGCTTAGCTCTCGTTAAATTATTTTTCATCATCATCATTTTTAATTCTTAAGCAATTCATCTTAGAATGAGGATTGACAATAGTAGGCTGTATGAATTTCTTTTATTAGCCACATGGATTCCATAAGCAGAGATAATACACCTCAATTTCTTCATTTAAAGTTTACTTTTTACTGTATATATTTTTAAAATAAAGAGAAAAAATCATGAAATTATATATTAAGAAAAATACTATTAGCTATATTTATGTGGGTCCCTTTGGGTCAAAGCATGCTAGCTGCATGCTGGTTAATCTTCTTGTGATTTTAATTACTAGTTAAGTATAGGTCTTCATAGTGAATCGTTTTGCTCAAAAAAAGCATGCCTACGTATCCTTCTCACATGCAACCCAACATCCCTTCCCCTTCATTTGATTTGTGTGTGTTCATACATACTAATGTGCAACAAGGATGCTCCAAAACTTCACAAATGCTATAAAAATAGGGGAAAAGGCATTCCCATTGGATTGAAAAAGATGAAAAAAGCACACATTTTAGCTTCAAAAGCTGAGAAGATTGTGGAACTTATCATTATCTTTGGCTTAAATTGGATGCACATGGCTGAGATTATGATATTCCATGTGTTTTTTTTTTTTTTTTTTCCCACTTAGAAAGGCTCCATCTGCATTAGTCTAGGGCAATATGACCTTTTCCATGTAGGAGAGGACTGATTTAGATTATATAATTATATATCGTATAGATTGTGTTGTTTTCTGTCAGAAAGAAAAAGCTTTTAGACATACATTGTAAGGCTGAAAGATAAAAGGTTTGTAAAAAATATACATGTGGAAATGATGGGTTCTGACAATTGAATGATCATGGGAATGATAATTGGATTGTGATCATGCATTAGGCAATCGTACGGTATAGGTTAGTCTATTACAAACCTTTTTGAGTCTGGATAAAGTTATATTCAGAGTCATGCATGCTCATAAATACTATTGATTTTATTACTACATTCCATCATTAGTTCCTGATTCAACTGAGACTCTCTCGGTCTTTCGTCCAAGCTCGCATGTCAGAATCTTTGAAAATTAAAAAAGTAAAAAATTGCAAGAAAAGTTCATTGAAGGAGCAAGCACATGTCAATCATGGGTAGATATTAAGCTGCTGATGAGCCCATGATTGCACTGAATGGTCAGTGGGCAGGACTGCAGGAGAAATCATCAGAAAGTTTAGTCTTATGGCCCAAGGGAGATATATATAATTGAACTCCAGGTAGATGAATAATGAGCGGGACTAATCAAATCACCTGATCCTCGAAGCCCATGAATACAGGTCAATTATGATATCTTTGCCATATTCATGCCATGAATAATGACCTGTTTGTATGCGTCATCTGATTATTGTAAATTGGAAATACCTCTCTTATCTTAATTAGCCAAACTAAAATATAAGCAAAATAGATTAAATATTTTAAAAGTTAATATTTAATGCATTGATAATATATAAATATTATATACTATCAATCAATCATATGATAATATTTCATTAATAAATAAAAAATAATCAAACCTTTAAAATTAAATATTAATAAAGTATATGATAACCTTCCTTATAATTATTTTTAAAAATCTAGTTACATTTTATTTTATTTATTATTAAGGTGTCATTATATAATTGATTTACAATATATAATATTTATATCCTATCAATACATTAAATATTAACTCATATTTTAATTTCTTTGAAAGGAGATAACTGATCTGAGGAAGTTTGGCATATGAAGAAAGCGTTTATCGTGTAATTAATGCTTAATTATGCTGTTTTTTGTTATTTAAACGCCCAAAACTTCATGATTCAGAATGAAGGGCAACTATGCTGATCATGCGAGTTTATGATGGTCCAATCAGAATCAAGGGCCCACACTAGGATCATTAGCAAGCATTTCTCACTCATAATTTGGATTAGAAAACCATGAATACATTTGAAAATTTCTCCAAGGGCAACTTTGGTAAAAAAATGGGGAAGAATGTGATGGTACAATCTCTTTATTTAAACACCCAACATGCAAACGGGTGATAAACAAGGCCAACTATCATTCTCTTCTTAAAATCACCAATCTAATATTGCTCTATTCCATTCAAGAGAAGACCAAGAGTTCTCCCTTTGTACTGTCTTTCTGTCTGTCTAAGACCAAAAAAAAACTGTCCTTTAAAGCCCAGAGAGACAGAGACAGAGCAAAAGAAAGGCAGAAACACAAAATTTTTCCTTTGTTAACGGTCTATCAACTTCAAAGCTTTCTTTTATCTCCATGGATTTCAGCAACTCAAAAACCAACTCACCTTCCTCTTCTAAAAATAAAAGAAAGCAGCAGCAACCTCAGCAGCAACAACAGCAACAAGAAACAAGATTCTTGGGGGTAAGGAGAAGACCATGGGGCAGATACGCAGCTGAGATAAGAGACCCTTCCACAAAAGAAAGGCATTGGCTTGGCACCTTTGACACTGCCGAGGAAGCTGCCTTAGCATACGATCGTGCCGCTCGCTCCATGCGTGGCTCCAAGGCTCGAACCAATTTTGTCTATTCCGATATGCCAGCTGGCTCATCTGTCACCTCCATCATCTCCCCTGACGAATCACAGCACGACATGTCATCCATTTTTTCGATTAATCCCCCTTTCCTCCAACAAAATGATGCTAACCAGAACCATCTTCTCCTCACTCAAGACCCTTTCAATGCATGCCAGTTTTCTTCCGGGTTAGCAGCAGGGGATGGGTGGACCCAAGAAAGTGATACGGTTGGGTCTTACAGGCCCATTACTGGTGTCACGGATGCGGGAAATGGTGGTTCACAACAGTTCAGCGATGACTCTGAACTGCCACCTTTGCCTCCTGACGTCTCCTCTACTTGTTATGGGTCTGGAATTGATGCTTCCGATATGGGTTATGGAGCTTGGAATGACACAGGACTTTTCGGGCTCCCGGATCAAGCATCAAATGGGTTTGACTCAGGAATGAGTGGACCGTATATGGGTTTTAACTCTTACGAGTTTGTGCAACACAGCCCACTTTTTGGGAAGATGCCAGGGGTTCCTGATACGGCAGCTGACGGATTCGATTTGGGTTCTTCATCGGGTTACTTCTTTTAATAGCTGCCACAAAAGTAAAAAGTGCTACAGCCACTACCTGCTACAACCACTACCAGTACTATATATCTTATCATGAAAATTAATGCGTCAGTTTAGTTTTGAGGTCTTGCTGTTACTGGCTTTCTTTTTTGATGTTTTCAGCGGTAAGTAACGGATTCTTGGGTTGTTGGATTTTGATACATTTTGGGAAAATGGTCCTGCTTCTAAGCCTATTTTGTGGTTAATGTCTTGCCTTTCGGTCAAAGGGAGTGTAAATGTAAAGTGTGCAATGATTTTGAATTCCTATAATCAACACAAGCAGCTTGAGTGATTTTCTTTTTCTTTTTTTTTTTTCTTTAAAATTTTAAATAAAATCTGCCAATGCTTGAATAACAGATTTGTTTATAGTAAGGTTGCAGTTTATCGACTTTATTGTTAGATCATAAAATATTATGATATTTTATGAAAATTTGAAAAATTATAAAATTTTTAAAAATAATAAAAAATAGTAGAATAGGTTATCATGTAAATTAAAAACATATAAAAATAATTTTATTCATTTTATTTTTCTAACAAATAAAAAATATTATAAATTACATATTTTATACTTATTTTCATCTATAAAGGATAACATTAAAATAAAAATTCAACTATAATTATGTCTTATATTATTTTAATAAATAATAATTTGGTATTTCTTCATTATTAGCAAATAACAATACTACAACAATAATTAATATAAATTTTATTATTCATATAAATAATTTTTTAATTTTAAAAAATCAATTATTTTATATTGTCTTTTTTAATTTTTAATTTATTTTTTAGTTGTTTTGTTTATATTTTTTATGATTTTATTTGTATAATTTTTCTTTCTAGTCTTAAAAATTTATTAACATAAATCATATAAATAAAAGTTACCATTATACCATTTTATTTGTATAAATTTTTTTATCGATACTTTAATTGTAAATTTTGTTTTTTTTTATAAAAAAAATTCAGTATATACGAAATGCCACTTGACCAAGATGTGACACTTTTTATTACTACACAAATATTGTTACTATGCAATGAAAAAATTACTACACAAATATTTACGTTAATAAATTTTTAAGACTAAAAATGATATAATGATAGCTTTCAAATATGAGAGAAATTTTACTGTCCTCTCACTTGTTTACTTTAAAAAAAAATTTATTTATTATTTCTTTTTCTTATATATTTACAAAAATATTAATTAATTAAAATATAATGTTACGTTACTGATTTAATTATTTATGTTATAAAAATATTTTCTTACAACTGTTCTTACCATGCATTACCCTTAGAAATATTATAGTTCTTTCTTATTGAGTTAAGAGACTTTTTACATATTTTAGGTCAAATGATATGAATTTTATATTTTCTCTCACATGTTTAAGTTACCAAATTTTTTATTATTATTTATTAAATAATTTTCTTATATATTTACATGAATAATAATTAATTAAAATTTTACATTACCAACTTAATTATTTATGTTACAATAATATTTTCTTATGCTTGTTCTTACATTCCAATAAGTTTAGATTTGGCATAATTCTTTTTTAGTGTGTTATGACATTTTTTACCCATTTTACACAAATGATATGAATTTTACACTTTTTTCTTACGTTACCTATTTGTTTTTTTTTTTTTTTAATTTTACCTATTTTTCTTATATATTTACAAAACAATAATTAATTAAAATTTTGCATTGCTTACTTAATTATTTACATGACTATAATATCTTTTTACAGTTGTTCTTACTTTCTATATGTTTAGAATTGTTATAGCTCTTTCTTAATATGTGTTACAACACTTTTTATTCATTTATACTGTTAGCCTTGAATTGATCCTTATTTTGAAATGATAAAACATTAAGTTAAATAAGTTTAATCAAGATTTTGAAAAAGATTTATTTAGTACATCTTCTTAAGTTTTATATTTTGGTACTAAATAAATAATATGATTTTCAAAGCTTAAACAAACCTTTCTTTGTTTTCATATTTCTCAAACCAAATCTACCTTTAAAGATTGTTTATTTGAGCGTAAATGAAAGTCCAATTGTTTTTTTTTTAAAGTGAACTTATTCATTTTGGACTTAATACAATTTTGACAATATTGGTTTTGAGAAATAGATTAACTTAAGAAAGCTATTTTACAAGAACAAAGTTTTTCAACATTGAACTTATTTTTATTTTTTTGTATTAATTTATAAAGTTTTAATATTTGAATTTATATGGTTGGAAAACTCTTGAGTCTACTTTCTTAATGGATCAAACAAAAATTAAACCATAATTTTTAAAAAAGATTTTGAATTTTTACTAGATACTTGTAGCTTCAGAAAATGCATAAGGGTAAATTTAAATTTAATATAATTTATACCATGAATTCTAATTATTATATCATAAAAACCCTTAAGTCTAGTTTTTAAATCTTCAAAGGTTTGTGATTGGATTTGTATAACTCAGAATGTACAATTAGTGAGTATAGTTCAAAAAGGAACAAACTCAGCATTAATGATAATCACTCAGAAATCAATCGGTATATTTTTAAGAAGAAATGAAATAAACTGAACCAATGATTCCTAAGAAGGGATGATTGATCTGGTAAATAACACCAAGTGTATATTTTTTCATGCATTCAAAGGCTACTTTCACTTCAAAGCTTTTCCTAACGGCTACTTTTAATTTCTCTATAATTGACTCAACATTGATGATTAGAATAAGAAAAAGAGCTAACAAGAATATTATATTCTTTTAGAATCAAGTTTTAGAGCTTTAAAGTCCCATATCTTTGTATTTATTGTATCCAAATTATATTGTTGTTCATTCATCATTTTCTTGTACTTAAACTTAGCAAACACTTAGCCTTAGAGAGGTTGTTCTATTGTTTGTAAAATTACCTTTGATATAAAGGTTGGAATAGAATAAGAGAAGAGGTATTCTCTTGATAATGTAAAGGTAGAGGTTGCTATCTAAGTCTTAAGAAAAAGATAAAGATTTAGTACAAGATAAGTTTGTATCTTGTAAGAATTTTTCTTTAATTAGTGGATTGAAGCCTTGGTGTGGACAACCAAGAGAGAGGATGTAGGTGCGTTGTGGAGAAAGATCGAACCTTTATAAATCATTATATTTGATTTTTCTATCCCTATCTCCTTACAATTTATTAATTTTTATATTTGATTTTAAATTCATTAATTGTTATTGTTTGCATTATATTTTCATCAAAAGTGCTTATTATTTTATTTTTCATTCAATTATATTGAAATCATTTGTTTGAGAAAAACTTGGAGAAATCTAATTCACCCCCTCTTGGATCACCATCTCACCTATAAAGCTAATAATTGGTATCAGAGCTTTGGTTTCTTTTTATAGGTTTAACCACATTGAGTAAAGATCTTATGGCTCAATTTTGGTTCCAAGATGGTGAGGAAGTCCTCAGAGCTCCTATGGTTGATAAATTTAAATTTTGTGAATGGAAAATAAATATAAAGGTGTTCATTATGGCTCAAGATTTTGGAGCATGGAATGTGATAGAAAAAGGGCTTAATACTCATTCCAAAGATGTAAAATACATGAAGCAAATAATAGACAATGCAAAGGCCAAGTGCATTCTATATGGAGCTTTAGATGATTACAACTTCAACTTGGCCTCAAAATGCTCAACCTTAAATGAGATATGGAGAAAGTTTGATAAGCTACATGAAAAACAAATTTTCAACCAACATTCATCATGTCTCATCGCTATTGAGGAACCAAAGGTAACCTCTAACTCTTGTAATTCAAACTCTTATACTTTTGATAAGTTACAAGATGCTTACAATGATCTAGTAATTGAGTTTGAAAATATGTGTTTGAAACATAAGAAAATTATTTCAAAATTGAATATTGAAAATGATCTTTTGATGAATGCAAAAAATGTTTTGGAAAAAGAAAATGAAAATTTGAAAATAGATTTAAAAACCTTGCAAAGTAGAAATGAATTTTTAGAAAAAGAAAATTTTGATTTGAAAAAGAAATTTAATGAATTGATGAATGAAAAACAAAAGCTTTTAAAAAGTTCATTAAGTACTAAAATGATTAAATGCAATTTTTATAATTTTCATGGTCATACTATACATACTTGTCCTATTAAAAGAAAAGTTCCATTTAGAATTAGGCAAGTATGGGTCCTAAAGGAACAAGAGACTTGCTCACTAACTCTCAAGGACCCAAAGCAATTTGGGTACAAAAAATCAAATGAGATTGTCTTTTGTAGGTGTGCTAGAGCAAGGAGCCACAATGTGAGATTGAAGATTGAATACTCTAGACACATAATGGAGATAGGTAACCTTTAAACTTTTATTTGAAGAGAATTTGAATTTGGTTACCTATTCTTAATGAAATTTGAATGCTTGATTGATTATGCAAAATTTGGTTGACATTGATTACAAGACATATGTTACATAATCTTGAGAAAATATGAGCTTGAGTTAAGTATGCATTTATTTATTTATTTTTGAATATATGATTTTAATATATTCCCCATGCTTGTTGATATTGCATTTAATGCTTGAGATGTATTTTGTATATGCCTATATGACCATGTTGATTTAAATTACTCAATTTGTTCTTAATGCTTGGAGCGTGTGAAATAATTTTTTTTAAAACTTGATTGTTATATTCTAAATTGTTTTAACTCTTGATTTGTGATTTTAAAAATTAATGATCATCTTGTGCTTAAATCATAAATATTGATGTTTGATTGTTCATCTTTTGATTTCTTATGAAATAGTCTTGAAATATGCTTTAATTCTTTATCCTTATTAATTCAAGATCTATTTTTTTCTTGTGATTGATGAATTGATGAACTTTATGTGCTTAAATAGAATATATTGATTCTTGGTTCATCTCTATGTTTTTGGTCAAGATATGTGCTCATATGATGAATAATTCAACTTGACCTTAATACTTGTGATTTGAAAGTGCTTAAATTGTTTATATCTTAATTTGTGAAATACCTTTGTGATATACTTGCTCTTGTGCTCAAATGTTTTATCTCTTGATTTGTATTTTTAAATTGATGAACTATTTTTTGTTAAATGATATGTGTTGTTAGTCCATCTATTACTCTTGTCAAGTGTGTGCTTATATGAATATGATTGAGCTTTACTTGACATACTTGCAATATGACTTAAGTGAGTGATTTTCTTATGATGCTTATTTTTA